CACATAGGCAAGTCCATGTAAGCCAAGAGGCCATTCATTATAATTGGTAACATAGTATATTGTATACAGTACTGCTTGAAAAATATCACACCTAGTTACAGCTCTCACAGACACATTTGGGAAAAAACACACACACACACCCAAAACCCAAAACTTATTCTGCCAGTTAACTTTAATATACTATTTTAAGTCAACACTCTCTATTTCTAAAGGGAAACAGAAATACAGACAAGATGATAGCAACAAGCTATCCAGTCTTAATAAACAGTTTTTAAACTGTTTTAAACTTATTTTTCAAAAGGTCTAACTGAGCTTTGACTCAGCACAAGTATTTAACTTCAGTTGTTTATATCCTGATGCATGAAGTTTGGCAAAACATTTTTGCAGGTTCAACTGGATATATCACACCTAATACAGACATACTGGGAGAACTGATATGAGGCACTCTGTGAAAAGTCTTCCCATTTTGAAATTCCCTTCCTCTCTTGTGTCCAAACACAGGTCAACATTGTGTTCTAGTTAGACTGCAAATCTAAATTCTTTCTTTCCTGCTTTTAAGTACAATTTGGTATATAATTAAGACTCATTTGTGGATATATGCATTTTTGGAATAACCACTAACCAAACCAGAGCTAGAAGGATGCCTTGCTATACACCAATATAAGCCAGATCATTTAATGAACTCAGTATTTGAAACAGTTTGGTTTCAGTCATTAGCTACTGGAAAAGTGAGCAGCAGTTCTTTTCACTTTTTTATTCCTTAGATCAGAGCCATTTGCACTACTTACAAATTTGTACAATACATTAGAAAGAACAATACTTTCTAAGACACAGCACATTTTCAGAAGAAAACACCCAGAATAAAAGAATAAAGTGACACAGGGATTTGAGAGGAGAACTAGTTTTAACATCCTTTTTTTTTGTTTCCAGCAATGAAGAAAGAGGGATCAGCCTATAATCCAGCAATAATGCTTGCAGACAGATATCCATCACTAGCAAGCTGTGCATGTCTGTTTTAACCCATTTACTTTTTGATTTCCAGAAGCACAAAAGCCACAGTGGTCTATTCTACTAAGTGATCCTGGACAGTCTGCTGCATTTAGTTGATATCTGATATCAACTGAGTTTGGGTTTTGACACCTACCACCTTAGAAACACACTTACACTCTAAGCATTTGGACACTGCAAAGCATGCAAAGATTTGAGACATACGTGATTTTTCATAACCAGCATAAATCTTAATACATGCAAATCCACACTTGCTTTGTCAATATTCAAACCTATAAGCTTAGAATGTTAGTATTCTTATAAACACGTAAGTTATGGAACTAGTGGACACTCAGTCTCTTCAGATTAATTTATTATAAATAGGCCAGTTCAAAACCAGATACACCTTTTCACCACCTAAAGCATTAAAAGGCTCCTTTTTGTAAGTAACTTCTATTCTGTCTTAAAAAATACATTTTTTAAACATTGTAAACTTTGGTAGTTAAAATTATGTTTTGCTATGGTATGCAGGTCACTTGCAGTTACTTTCTAGTACATTATAAACACAGAAGCTAGCTGAAGCTTTTATAAATGTTCTCAGTCATCTTTGTGGTATTATAGTTCATTTGAGAGGCTTTACAATCAATGTGCTCATACAATTTAAAATAAAAGAGAATGAAGTTTCATTTATACTGATAAAATACCTTATAAATCTCCAGAATCTAAAGACAGTGTGATTGCTGAGATAGGATAACAGACGTATCCACCTATGAAATATTAAAAAAAAAAGATAAAAATACTATTTGAAATTATCAGACCTACTATTATACTTGTCCTATTGGGGAAAAACCTAGGCTCTACACAGTCTAGTTCAAAAATAAACAATTCACAAGTAAAATACCATTCATTTGTCTACTGATTCTAGGATTGCCATTCCAAAAGCATTGATTATTTTGACACTAGAAATAATAAGAGCTCTCTTTAATTATCTCACATGAAACAGTGCAACTGTCAGCAAAACTGGAAGATTTTCCTCCCATATACCCTTAGTTAGTTTAAGGGGTGCTAGAAGTTTTTGTTAAAAAAGTCAGAGACATTAATACATTTTTCATTTCTAAACAGTAGCAGTATTAATAATGCAAAAGCCATTAGATGCTTTCTCCATATATTTCTTATTATCCGTAACCTCTAAATCTTAAAATTCACATCCATAGATCCTGGTCATAGTACCAACAGACTCCAGTGTAAAAGGACTCTATTGATAAACAGCCTTCATTTTTCTCCTTAATCAAATTAATGCTGAAAAAAAGTCTACAGCTAGACCACAAAGAATTTGGCCCCTTCACCTTCATAATATATGCTGAACTAAAGCAAAACAAAAAAATTTGAAATCATATAATTGAACTGGATTAAACAGAAACCACTAGTTCCATTGATTTACTAAATGAAGGGTTAAAACTCTATCGGGGCACACTATTAGCAAATTAAGTTTATCTTTCCTTCTCTGTTTTCAATGCTGTATTTTGAAGCCTATCCATTTAGCAATTCCATCTGCTTTTCACAAAACATTTCTAACTCTTTTCCTTATTAATGAATTTATAAAGTAGAAAAACATTTTTGTCTGAAAATAGATGAAACAGCAATGACTAGACAGTCTTCATTTTTCATTCCTACTCTGTTATAAAGAAAAAGCCCTTACCTTCTAAATTCCTCTTCTCCTACAAACTAACCCGTACGCTAATGATCTACAAAGTGCCTCCCACAAAAGAAACACTTTGCCACTCATTCTTTTTGTATAAATTAAAACAATTGCTGGCCCAATTGCTGTTTGAACATAATTAGTTTTCATTTATTATCTATCACACTTTCAGCTGTGCCATTTATCAAGCCCAGAACTTTCTACATTGCTAAATTGCCATGCTGTTATTGGCCCTGACTCTTACAGAGACAGGAATCAGCCTGTATCCTAGGAACAGGATTTAAGACAGGACTTAAGCAAAATATAGGCATTAAGTCAAACACTGCAATCCTGAAGGGCCCACACAGCTGTTCCCCAACACTAGAGCTCCCTTTCTGATGGTAAAGTTTCTTATGATCCTAGTATTGCCCCTTGAGCAGAATATGGGCACTGCTTTTTTTAACTGTTTGACAGCTCACATGCCAGAGATTTAAGCAGAAAAGGAGAGACTCACTTTGTGCAGTTCTCTTCTACCTCAGGTGCTTGCAGTTGCACTCAAGACTGTCCTAACCTAAATGCTGAATTTCCATGCTGAATAATGATTCAAATTTAATCAAAACTTTTCCCGTGATTTAGGAAATACACTGAGGTTGAGTCTAACTTTCAGATCAGGCCTGTGGGCATAACTTTTCCTGCCATGCTTCTGCCTTACCATAGCATTAGAGAGAGAACATGCCAGAAAAGACTGGGAATTAACAGCCTCTGAAATGTCATGTCTCCATTTGGTAAGAAAAATCACCTAACAGCTGAAGATTACTTTAATTGCAATATCATGTAGTAGCCAGGATGATAATCTTTCATATTCACAATTTAACACTGTAGAGCTGATTTGACACAGAGGTCCACAGCAAAGTTCATTTAATATAAATGACTGAACATCTTAGGGTCAGGAAGACAAACAAGAAAAGAGATTTTTAAAAAGCATCCAGCTTGAATTAATTCTCTAATGAGAAACTAGTGAAGGGTTTTCTTCACCCTTTAGACACAAAGAGATTCTTAAAATGCTCATTAAAGGAGTTTACAATGTGAAACATAATAAAAAGGCACATACTGGATTTCAAAGCCACGGTTGTATTTTACTTTGTAATTGTCACATAGTTAGAAAAATTAGACAGAATTAAGAAATAGCAGGTTACCTGAGACTTTGATACCAGTCTCCTTCTGACAGAGGCCGCGCTGTCACGTAACCACCATGTTTTAACGTGATAACGCCTACCTGCAAGTACTGGGTGTGGAGCTGGGGTGTCGGCAGCTGGAGCACCGGCGTGAGGGAGGCCGGGACAGGGCAGCCCCGCCGCAGGGAACCGCCCAGCCCAGCACCAACACCGGCGGCTCCCCTGTGAAAACCTCTTCAGAACGACCAAAATGCTGCATGGCAGTGAGAGCGAGGAAAAATGTGTGAGAAACAGCGCCAAGGTGAGGAGGGAAGGAGGATCCTCCCCTCTTCCAAGTCACTGAAGCACCAGCAAGGGTGCTCCAGGCACACGGTCGAGACTCCCTGTGGCTGTGGAGAGCCCGTGCTGGAGCGGGGGGCTTGCCCTGGGGAGCTGCAGCCTGGGGAGAGCCCCCAGGAGCAGGGAAACGTGTGAGGAGGAGAGAGCAGCAGAGAGGAGCAGTTCTGGGCTGACTGCGGCCTCCCGTTCCCTATCCACCTGCCCTGCTCTTGGAGGGTGCTGCAGGAGCTGGGGATGGAGTGAATGAAGTTGAGCCTGGGAAAAGGGTTGGGGAAAGCTCTTGTTTTAATTTTGTCTTTGTTTCTTGCCATCCAACCCTATTATAAATTAAATTAATTGTTCCCAAATCAAGCCTGCTCTCCTGTGATGGTAACTGTTAAGTGATCTCCCTGTCTTTGTCTTGAACCATAAGCTTTTTCATCCTAATTTCTCCCCTGGCTGTGTTGAGAGAGCGCCTCGGTAAGCCTCTGGCAGCTGGCCAAGGTCACCCCACCACAGTCATTTATTTGGTACCCAGTAATGGGCCCAACCCACAGCCCTGAAATACTGAGTTTTATGCTCTACAGCTGAACTAGCTAGCCATTCTCAGGCTATATGCCAAGCTTAACCTACCACACAGTAAACACACAAGCTGTACTGAACCTCTTGTTTTACAAGCAGGGGAAAATATATATATTTTTAAATGAGGGTCCATTTGACTGAGTTCTGGCCATTGATAAAGTGCTTTACTGGAGTTGGGCAATGTTCTATAACTATCTAAACCCAAACACTGAGAAAAAATAGGACAAACAAGGGACTTCAGAATTTGCATGTCTTTATTAAATGTAGAAGACAAAATCTTATTTATCAAAGATGTTTAATATATATGGCATTACAGTCACCACTGTACATAGTGGTGTTAATCTAAGCTGGTACATATATGCAACACAGATTTTACACACATTTCAGCAGAAGATTTGCCAAAATTTTTATGGTTTTTGGCAGCCAACTTGTAGGAGTAATACTGTAAAAGAAAAATTGGTCATTTCTGGCACTGTTCACACTAATATAGTACATTGTGGGTAAAATAGGCTTGCTTCTCATGTGCTTGGCCTAGATAAAAACTAAATAAAACAAAAACTTTCAGTTAGGTGTACACAAAAATTCTTCATGTGCTCTTCTCCCATTCAGTGCTGCTCTGCTTTGTAAAGCTGTATGGTTACCAGCATTCAGGGGAAGACTATGTTCTGCTAAATTGCTCACCTTAAGGTTTTTGTATTCGCACAGACACCTGCTGCTTGTGGCATCGGTTGAGGCTGCAAAAATTTGCCTGGGGGAAAAAGTTTAGAGGACAGTTTAGAGTCAAGAAAATAACTGCATTTGCTTTATAAGCTTTGAAACCTTCACAATTTTTTCTGATCAAAAATATTTTCAGTTCTTATCTCAGTCCCGTCATCTTCTCAGACTTTTGGCACTGAAAAATCTTTTTGAGTGATGAAGAGTACTGCAACCAAGATGTCACTTACACATATGCTGCATCTGCAAAATGCAAAAGATAATCATTTGCCTGTTTTTCCTCCAAGATGTTGCTATTTTTTGGCTAAAATGTTCTGGACTTGTTAATGATCTTTGTGTTTAGCTTGCATTTCATCGTTCTTACAATTTGTACCTCAGCTCAGATTGGGGTGGATCAAAGGTGTGAGAGATGAGAAACCAGGCCTGTGAGAAACTAAGACAGACAACCTGGGAAAGAAAAAGTTGAGGCTGATTGAAGAAATGTCTCAAACACTTGCAAGACAAAACTCTGAGTCACAGGGTGCTTTCTGTGGAGGCCAAAGCTGATAATGCTGCCCGATATAGCTGGGGGAGAGAGCCCTGTGGAGACAGGACGGCTCTTCTCTGGGGCACCTGAGCAAATTTCAAGGGCCATATGTCCGGTGAATGAACTTTGCTTCATCATACACAAAATGCATATTAAAGTTAACACCCCTCAATATGCTAATGAGAGCTGACATGATCATGCTAATTATATCATCCCATGAAACACCCCACCCCCTACATGGGATACGTAGCTATGTGGGTCAACCTAGAGGATGGACCCAAGGAAAGTGGGTATAAATCAAAGGTGGGAAGAAAGGGCTCGTGGCCCCTCTCCCTGCCCCCCTGGCCGTCTGGAGAGAGCAGTGAAGCGAAGACGACGGATGCCAGCGAAAAAGACGGCCGCCTCCTGAAACCCTTGCCAGCGGGATCAGCGCAGGAACCCAGACCAGTGATCTGTATTTCCCCATTCCCTCTATCTCCCTCTTTTCCTTTTTCCATTAAGAAATGCAAGGCATATTATATTGCTTGCCACAACTTGCTATATACTTAGCTAATTATCGTGTGTTCAATTAGTACATTGTATGTAGTTAATAAATGCTTGAACTTGGAGACTTGTTGTCTGCTCCAATTGGGGATTTGCGAATCTGTCACGTCCCCCTCATCTTAGCGGGACATGCCAAAAGGCAAAGACACTTCATTAGCAGTCAACTGTAGCCATGACAGTGAATATAGTATTTTTTTTAAAATAAATATAGTAAATATAGGGGGTTTTTGGGTTTACTTGGAAATGACAGTATTTAAATGTGGTTACTCAATAACCATTTTGTTGTATCAATATATGTGGTTACATTAAGGGTAATGATCTAGAAAATCAGTGTTTATAACTGGGTTTTCCCAACAAGAAGCTTTTGCTGCAAAATAGGTAATTAATCTTCAAATAGACCATGTAAAAAAACAGGTGTTCAATGACATACAAATTGGTGGCATCAGTATTGAAACATCTTGTTTCTTAGCCTGTTGATACCAGCATGGAGAAAAAATAATGCATTTGCATTCTTCCACCCAAAGCAGACTGACATCTTTATAAATAATTTTGCTTCTCAAGACAACTCTTCATGTATCATGAAAATTCTAACATTAGAATCTGTTAATCTGAATGGAAAATGCAGCCCAAAATTAGTTACAAGCCATCTGCATCTGTCAGCTAAGTCATACACAACTTCAAAATCTGTATTCCTACTTTTTGTGTCTAAAATGGAATAAAATAAAGGAACAACCTCTTTATATATAAAATCTGTGTTAAATGATTCAATAAGTTAACTTGCTACTTAAGCTATGTTCTGCTGTCTAAAGACTGTTATCTCTGGGTGGTTCTCCACTTAATCACTTATTTTCACGTTTGCAGAAAAAGCAAATATAGCATACAAATACAAAAAAAAAATGATGTTTCAGACTGAAGAATTAGATTATGACATTGGTAAATGCATAACTACTGCTCTCAGACAGAGACGGTATGTAAGTAATTAGATAAAAGTTTTGAAGTGGTCTTAGTCTAATGGTTTAACAATTTAATGTATCAAATTATAAGAAAAGTGCAAAATATGACAGTCAATTTCTACATCATTTAGCCTTACTCAGCATTCTCCTCAGGCTATTTCATGGATACAGAGATGAAGTCTATTAAAATTCATAGGAAAAATAATCCAGTTGCCCGAGAAGGGAGTAAGATCACCAAGTCCTGAATGTAAACACAAATAGAAGCTATTGCTTAAGCGTGTGTAGTGAAGGAAACCTCTGTGTATTTAGGCATTTTAAGGAATTTCTCAGTGTTGATGGGAGAGCCTTGAATTGATGGTTCATTGTATTCCATTGCCAAGCCAGCTTCTGAGATGGCAAAAACTGGCATTGGACTATCCATGTTGGTAAAGCTTCGCCAGTACACAGCAACAAGGAGAAGGCTTGCTACCTTCTAGTAAGAAAATTATCTTCAATTTCCTTTACTATTACTTTAAGCTATGCTAAAAGATTTGCTGCTTTAGTTTCTTTTAGGGAGAAAGTGCAGAAGTTGGCTCTTTTTAGAATAGTAAACTTGCCCACTTAAATTATTTAATGCTCTACATTCTATTTTGTAACCTAAGTGCATTTTCCTCTGTCAGAAGGGGTCAGCAGAGGTCAACACAGCAGGTGCAGGGTCTGATGGCCTTTTGCAAATTTCAGAATGTTATTAAAATTTATTTTTAAAAGGTTAAGATTTTTCTTCTGCTTTCCTTGTCTAAATAATGGAATAAGCTGAAATGCCACTCTCTGCTAGAAATGTTGCCAAGTTCATAGCATTAGAGAACAAACTGTCCAAGCTTTGACATCTAATCAACATCATTAATATATTTAAATACAAAGAAGAAATAACTGATTTTAAGAATTCATCTCTCCTCTGGATGTATGTGCAGATTACACTGTGTCAGTTAAGGAATATCAGTCTTGGAAGTTATCCTTGTGATAAAAAGGACTAGCTGTAGTTCGTAGTATGATTGCCACTGGCTGCAGCCTTTTAAAAATGCATATTCATCAGCAGTCCTGCTTCCTAAAATCACTTTATGAACTGGTCACTATTTAATACAAGAGCAGCTTGATAGACATTAAATTTATGCCTATCCTTTAAAAGATGGATGTTGAAACAGATTTGCACAGTACAGTAACTGTGTTCACACAAACTCCCTAGCAGTTCAGGACTTCAGTGTGTGTGATTTCCAATGCAGTCTGTTCCAGGCCAAGGAGTTTAAGGACAGAGCAAATGACTCTTAAATTTCAGCTGATTAATGTTGTTTTCCAAAGTATCTGTCACCTGTGCAGACATCCACATAGACATGTAGGCAAACTTTTCTGCAGCACATTTGGAATGGAGTTAGGCAAATAAAGCCTTTTTCAGTGCATTCTGTTAGATATTAATAAGCCTACTATTAAATTCCTCTGAATTTAAATATAAAAATTCAGAACTAGTTTATGGTCCAAATTAAGCTTCAAAACACCAGGGTATATATATTAGGTAAACTTTCCCAGCCAAAAGTTATATTCTTCATTCTGATGAGGTATCAAGAAGTTTTGCTTCCAAGAATGTTTGCTATATTTTTCACAATCTCTTTGCAGAGCTTAGAAATTAATTAAAATTCTGCCCTTAATATTTATGGGTTAACATTCAAAGACTGTAGCACAGAAATATTTATAAAAATAAAAAGCAAACTCATCTATTTACAGTTTGATTTTCCAAATACCTGTGATAAAAATAGCTTATGTTTCCAAAAGTATATATTACAGAATAAAGTAACAATGCTCCTCAATACCCCAAACCTGTCCCACAGCATTGACAAGAACAGTTCTTTTAGAAAGAACAACCAAACCTCCTAATGCCAAAAAACCCAAGAATGCAATTTAAAAAGATGATAAGAGAGAGGGAACATTTGAGTATTGTATACATGCTATATATATATAAGTACATTGATCTACATAAAAATCAGTATGGAAACTACCCACTGTGTTTAATGGTAATAAATACTGTAGAATTTTCATCTTGGATTCTGGATACTAAAACCTCACACTTTAAATTTCCTTATACAGGTGTTTCTGTAACATTACCTCACCTTAAAAACTGGAGAATACTTGTAGGCATCAGAGACATCCAGTAAGGAAAAATAATTTTTAAAGTCACCCATATCACTATCCCCTCAAGAGGTCAGACATTGCCCAGAGAATATCCTGGAAAAAACAGTTCCCAACAGAATACTAACCAGGAAGAGCAATCTGCTGTAAGCATCCACAGATGCAGGGCTACTCAGGGATAACTCTGAAGCCTGACCATGCCCCTTTAAGACCCAGACCTGCTCCAATGACCAAAATTTCAGGTAATTTAATGAAAATAGGATCATGCTCTAAGTATTCATAGACTTATGATTATTTAAACTGATTATCATCTCAGACTTCCATCCAGAAGGTGTACAAGTGATTTATACAATGCGACCATAGTGAGATAGTGAGATAGAGTAGCTGGCATTATCCCTCTGGAGGAAAGTAAGGGATGGTGGCCTCAGAGTCCAGAGCTGTGAGTGCTGGAGGGCATTCCAGGCAGGACTCTCAGAAAAGAAAAATCACTTTTCACTGCTCACATAAATTGATTATACCTATTGTCCTCTGGAATTGGAGGCTGTTTTTTTCACTTTATTTTTTAGCTCAAGGGCTGTTGATCATTGTAGGAGTCAGATTGTCTTGTGCCTGCTAACCACTCCAACCTGCATCAATTGCAGAATCTAGCAATCGGGACTGCATGGCTGACCTTGTCAAAACCGAACAAAACTTAGAGGGTATACTTACATTGCACAAATCCCCTTACTCTTATTGGTGTCTGGAGAAAATCAGTACATCTGCTATGTTTTTATATGTCAGGGTGTTTAGGTTTTAATTATTGGAATCTATCTCAGTACATGCCAAATCCGAGGGAACATTTTACATCAAAGCCTGGACTTCAGGCCAAGACAATGTTCCAGGACAAGTTTTATATCACTGCCAACTCCATCTCCTTCTTTATTCCTCTCTTGAGCCAGTAATATATTAAGCTTAACTTCAGCATGAGGCCCAGAGGGTCTACTTGAAGTGGAACAGTTGTCCCTGAACCACTTAGGTTATAAGGGACCCCTGGAGGTCTCCAGTCCAATCTCCTGCCTGAGACA